ACTGTCTGTGTTGATTCAACAAAACGGTATTCTTATAACAATAACTGTAATTATTTTTGTAATATTTTCCCTGACGTTGGCAGCGCTAAAAGAGAAAGTATTTTGCATGCGTATGTGTGTGTGTGGGTGTGTGTAACGGATATAATACTCTAAAAACTAGCGGCCAATGAAATGACAAACACTAACAAAGTTGGAAATGATAAACAAACAAAAATACCAACAAACAAGTAATACAACAAACAAAGCAAATCGTTTAGCAGGGCGCGGAAAGGAATGTACAATGTACATTCTGACTTGAAATCCTTCTCTACTTCACGTGCAAACCAATGTTCGTCTCCCCACCCCAGAATTCATGAAATGCAATTTCCCCTTTTGGTTAAAAAAGTAAATTGATTTGCACAAATTGAACAAATATCTCCCGATAGTATTTGACACCAAATCGTGACTGTGTAGTCACATAAACCCAAATCTGTATGCTGTTATCATCAGCAAGACGTAGATTTGAGAAGCAAAGTGATGTCCGTTCTTTTTTTACTTCATCAAAAAAGCCCTGCAGTAGATATGCACGTTTTCCGGACGTCAAATTATTACACTTTTTAATATGTCCTAACTGCCTTGTCTTTCTGATTTTTTCTTATGTATAAATCCTTTACAACCATTTCTATGGAATAAGTCAACACTAATTTCAATAATTCATCAAAGACTGATGACATTACACCCATTTGCGAATGTTTGGTTCTATATATAATGTTAGCCATAATATAATAGATTTGGTTTATCTCTAAGTTCATGAAACGATTGATAAGTTAATATGATTTTTCCTTTAAATAGATAATTTATATCTTTTCAGAGCTCTATTGATTAATCTAGATAGTCTAGAGATTAATCAATGAATTTCTAAGAAGATATAAACTTGATATCGTCACACTCATTACATAAAATGAGGCAAACCAGATTTTTTCCAACTTTATGGGCAAACGTGTTATAAGACAGCATGTACGCCTTGTGGGCTTTATTTCTGTGTAGTTACATGAAAAAGGTTCACCAAGAAACCTACATCTTCTTGGTCATCCAGGGTTTTATCCCTCTTTAAACCTCAAAGTGAAATCGAGACCATCAAAAACAGAGTAAACAAGAAAATCAGGAGATGAAAAGATAGAAATGGATACGACGACGGGAGACCATGGACCCTCCACCTGATCGTTGGGGGAGGCAAACAGGTATCATATCGTCTGCTTGGAGCCAGAAGGGCATTAGTATACAAATAATACAAAGCAGTGAGGGCATTAGTAAGATTTACCCACACAAATACCTTTGGAACAGTCTAACACGCCTGAGACAATAGCCGAGGTTGTTTGGACTGTTTTGAAGGTACCGAGTGTGGGTAATTTTACTAATGTCCGAACAAAATGATGTGTATTATATGTCTTATAAGATTATTTTTTATTTTCATAATGATGTTTTATAACATGATTTTGATAATGACCGGTCATTATCCAAATAACGTGTTAGGGAAAATATATGTCTGGTCACGTGTATACTCTCAACCAATCATTTGATTAGGACTTACGTCATCATCTTATAATACATATTGTCTAACACCTTGTTAACCTCCTTCTGGAACTGAACAGACAAAATGTGGGAATCATGCGATAAAGTTCCATTATTTTTAATTCCATCGAGTCTATGGGGAGACATGCAGGTGAAAATTTTGGAGCAAAAAGGGCTTAAGCACATATAGTTCAACACAGGGTTAACGTCCTTTAGGATCTGAACATGGATAAATAATGTGGTAAAAAGTACGCTCCATTTGTATCTCCATCATTTCTTAAAGGAGACATACAGGTAAAATGTTTAGAGCAAAACGGACGTTAGCTCATGTAGTTCAACGCAGAGTTAACGTCCTTTAGGATTTGAACATGGAGAAATAGTGTGGTAACAGGTATATTCCAAATGTCTCTCAAGCATGTCTTTGCATGGGAAGATATACAGGTATAATGCCATCTATTTTGTAGCCAGAAGGGCGTTAGAAGTAAAGCATAGTTATGACTTCCTTCTGGGTTTGAAGAGATGTTATAGTAGGCGAATCATGCTGGGAACTGTAATTATTATAGAGAAATTGAAGTCGTATAGAGGATTGAGGAGACAAATAAATAAGTGATAAATGTGATGAGGAAAGCGAAATCACCAAAGAGCCTTTTTATAAATAAAGAAAAGAAAGAAAAAGAACGTAAAAAAGAAGAAGAAAAAGAAAAAGAAGGGAATAAAGAAGAAAAAGAAGAAGAAGAGGAATAAGGAAATGAAATAGAAGTAGAAGTTGAAGAAGATGAAGGAGAATAAGAAGGAAATGAAGAAGAAGAAGTATAAGTAGAAGAAAATGAAAAAAGGGAAGTAAGAGCAACTTTATACTCGCACGCAGACAGTTAAATGGATGTCTGTATTTTTAATCAAAGAGCGTTTATCCACGTAAAAATGATAATCAATATGTACTTTTGCATTTCGATTTGTGGCAGGCGATATCCAAATCATTACCTGCAACTAATTAGTGTGTTTTACTCATATCCCTGTATTTCTTTTTTTTTTTTTTTAGATATTCGGTTTAATGGCATGAACACTGTGGTTGCTTTTGAAGGTTTTTAAAACTATGTTTGTTTGTTTGTGTATTTTTTATTTATTTTTTGTTCTTGTTTAATTGAATGCATGTCTTTAGATGCATATGTATTTGGTAATATGATATGTTAATCTGACGATAAACTCTAATACTCACACATACTATCATGACTAGTGCAATTTTGCAATCGCATGTTATTAGATGCAGAGTGTTGGTTTACCGACAAGGGGCTCGTTGGTGTATTTTCGTCTGTTATGGGGGAATGGGAATAGCATTGGCCTGGGTGAGGGAGGGGTTTATCAACATAATTTCACATTTCTCCCCCCCCCCCCCCTCCTTCTCTCTCTCTCTCTCTCTGTGACTATCACCGCCTTCTCTCTCTCTCTCTCTCCCTCTCTCGCTAACTTTCTCCCCCTCTCTCCCCTCTCTCTCTCTCTAGCCCCCCCCCCTTCTCCCTCTCTCTCATCCCTCTGCCTTTTGGTGGGGACACCCCCCTCTCCGGCGCCCCTTCATGCCCTGCCGAGTCTACGCCACTGCTATATCCTCACACTTCATCGGTGGACCATGCCTGCCTTTAGTTTCTTGACACAACCTTCACACCTGAGCAAGGCGCGATGACACCATCCCAGCTTCATCGCCACACTTCCGGGTGCTTGCATCATTAAACATCCCCCAGGCGTAAACAGACTTCACGCCTCGCAAGCAATGGCCACCCCCCCCCCCTCCTCATGATTGTGAGCTCTACGTTCATCGGGAAAGCAGGCGCGGTTCTAAAAAGAATATATTGTTGGTTGTGATGAAGGGGGGCGGGGGGGGGGGGCTTGGGTTTATTGTATTCATTTTCTACATGTGCGTATATCTTTAAATAGTCACAAAAAAAAATTGGGGGACGTATTCTAATTTTGGTTGTTGTTGTTGTTGATTTTCTTGGAGCTCTGTAGCCCCCATAACCCCTCTACAACCGCTTGAGAATTGAGAAATCATAAACTCTTTTCGAACAACATAACAAATACCATCTTTAAAAAGAACAGATAAAAGATGATAGAAGGATTCGTTGATTGACTTCACATAGTTTAATATGTTAGTAACAGAGATGCATGGTGCATGCTGGGTGTTTGATGAAATTTTGTTATGGACTTCAAAAAAGTTAAGAACTATCTCTGTCTATTTTTTCTTTCTGGAAATGATTTAGCTATTAACTGAAAAAAAGCGATTTTATTCCCCAAGTTACAATGCAGGTTATTACAAATATCAAATGTAATATTACTTTTTCTTTATATTTGACAATTCATTTAAAGCACTTAAATATTCTCAAAGTAGGCGCTGTAGAAGTGTAATGTCTTTTTTCATTATTAAACGTATATGGTGTCATTTTAGTGACGGAGGACATTTCCGAACTTAGTCCGTTAGCAGTTCACTGCACTGTAATATCCTATACTATATGCATAACTTGTATATGGTGCGTATATTAAATGGTTCCGCCAGTTTGTGAATGCTTTGAATGACGTTATCCAGAAGAGACAGTGTGTGCTTTCTGTTCGTAATTGGTGAATTGTGATTCGATTGATATACGGAATGGTGTGCCACTCTACGGGTGGAACTGCTGCTCTGGTCGGCAGCGTTTGAAGGAACGGTGTTATGAGTACAGTTCAACGACATCCCAATTAAACCGTGTGTTAACTTTAACACATGCGTTCCAATTGGTTTAGGCAACTTGTACATTCTTATCTTTCCATATTAGATTTGTTAATAATGACCAGAATATCTCATACGTTTTGGGAAACAATTCACAAATATAACCACTTTGAGCGATAAGAGAGATGTGATATATATGAGCAAATTCGTGTATTATTATGTATATAGATTTCTTTTGGTGTCACCAAGGCCCATAGGTTAACCAGTACCTCGAATAGAAGGCATTGTATATTTGTTTTATATCCTGCATCAAAAATTTATTTGAAAAAAAAAAAAAAAAAAAATTTGGGAACAAAAAAAATGTCAATTTTTATCTAAAGAGATTTAAAATATATTTTGTTTTCATTAAATTAAGATTTGAAAAAAAAAATTGATTCAATTAAAAAAAAAAAATTCACATTTTTTTTCAACTCCCAAATAGTACACCAAAATAGTACTTTCTAAAAATAGGTCAAATATTTCTGGTCATGTGACGAGCTCTCAACCAATCAAAAGCCAACAAATTTTGATGCAGGATATAATATGTATTACTACTACTACTGTTACTATGATGTCTATATTTCGTAGAAAAAAATGCAAGTATAGATAAACAAGATTGACAGTACCAAAAATACCATTTCCTGATTGTGAGAATACACATTTAAATTAATACAGCAATTAAACCAAAAAAAGTCACTTGAATCAAAAATAGTATAGCTTCACATTGCCCGCTGCTTGATATCTCACAGCTGGTAAATTTATTTCGCACATTAAAAAAAAAATCACATCCACAATATGCCTATTGATAATACTTAAATATTATATATATAACACCTTCGCAAAGACTTTTGAACAAAATAAAACTTAAGTTCATAACCTTGTCCATCACTGTTTTTAAATCCCCCCCCCCCCCATTAAATTACGCATTGTGTAATCCGAACATAATTTCATTGGGATATGCAATGAGCAGTTGAAATGTCATTGAGATGATTTTTCTGAAGTACTTGTGATTGCGTTTTTAACGGTTTTTACAAGATGACATTATTTCACGAGGTGAAAATGTATTCTTTTCGAAACTGTAGATAAAAAAGGAAGATAAATGCATTTACAGGTGAACACATATTCTAAACATATTTTGATAAATTGTTACATTACAAAACTAAAATATCATATATTGGTTTACACTTAAACACACCACACATAATAAATATCATATTGTAACATAAAATATATAAATTTACTGTTATTTACATAATTCTATACAGATAAAGAAGCCCGCGAAGTGTAGTGAATTATACAAATATGTGCTTTGCACTAAAGCCTCTAATATCTCGACTATGACCTTGTATCAACTGTGATAACAAATAGTTATCAAAGAGCTGTTTCTTGTGCATTTCTTTCAGTGGATATTAAAATAATTACTATTTCAGTTTTGAAGGATGGTATTTGATTATAAGATGATAATGATTTAATTTTCTAAATTTCTTGGAGATTTGTGGTGAAATTTCAGAGAATATATGGCAATTTCTATTATTACTGAAATGTATCAGGTCCTCCAAACCACTTTTTTAATAGAGAATCTACCTTTTTATCATGTAGCTGGTGACTGCTTTTTCTAAAACAAACAGTGTTGACAATTTTTTCAAATTTGTAGCCTATGTATTTCCCTAAAGGAACTTGTGGAGGTATCATTATAAAGTGGTTCATTCACTAACGTCCTTTGGGAAGACATTAATATACTCTCGCCAGTCTCCACCCAGGTGTTTATGGGTACCTGGCAAATGCTGGAGTAATAATAATTGAAGGGCTCTCAGGAACAACAAGTTTAAATGGATGCGGATAAGGCTTCCCTCGTTTTACAACACTACCACTTTCATTGTTATTATTATTATTATCATCATTATTATAATAATAAATATAATTATTTTTTTACTATTATTTTATGATTATTATTATATGATAGGGGTTCTAAATAGGGGATATAAGTAATTATTTCAAAACCTTCCTAGAATTTAATAATCTATTACTAAGAGTAAAGCGTTTGCAGCTACTGCCTCACAAAATAATGTGTCAATCACAAGCTTGTTTGGGTGAAAACACGTACTGTACATTAAGGATTATAATAACAAATACATTAAATGGACCTGTTTACCAATTGTATGCATATTTTTAAACAAAGTTTATTTTTGACGACTGAAAAACTTGCCAGAGAATAAGCAAGTTTACAAACATATTCAAATTGATGGTTGTTTCTTTCATGAAGACCTATTATAGTGACGAGGTATTCCATTAAGCTGTTTATGAACTAGAATACTTTGAATCCAGTATGCATCATTACTTGTTCGGGTTGTCAAGAATAACCTTTCTTTAAATAGAATGCATACAATTTGAATATATTAGTATACCGGTCTATTGCCCGTCATAGCACAAGATAAAAATGTATGCACAGTGAATTCAATCCCTCGAGATGTTATCCTTGGGATGTGAGTCAATTAGTTGGTAACCAGGGGGCCGTTTCTTGAAACCGTCATCAGTCTAACTTCTTAGACATCCCATTGAAACGTGTGTTACAGATTAACACGCGTTTCTATGGGATGTCCAATAAATAAGACTTACGACGGTTTTGAGGAACTGGCCCCAGGGGTTCGGTAGAGACATAATATATATGCATTGAAACACATTAGTAAACAGGTCTTTTTCAAGTGGATCATTGTTGAACTTCCTGTGGTTCAGGTGTATGCTGGGATACCTCCTCTTGTCTCGCTAACCATTCTCGTACCAGTCTATCAGGGGAGACCTTAGACTCGTGCACCAGTCTATCCCTGTCCATCACGTACGTGGCTCTGTAGGCCTTTTCATAGAGTCCCTCGTAGGATTCAACCCCTTCCGATAAAAGGCTTATTCTAGAGCCCGTACGCGAGTCTGAAGGAGTGGATACGCGCGCAGACTGAAGTGATAGGTGACTGGGACACCTGCAGCTAAAGTTACGGTGAATCATGCAGCATTCGTCTATCGCACCCACGCGTAAGTCCGAACAGGACTTGCTCAAGGGGTTGTAGGATGGCGGGTTGAGACCCTTTGACGAGGTGGGAATCGCCCGTGCTGAACCGGCGGGGCTTCTATCAGCCGCTCGGTCCTTTCGCACATGGAGACTGCAACAAGCGGAGCCTAAATGCTCACCATTGGCGTTAGAATCCAAACTCTGCGAGGCGTGGTTATCGAGCAGGGCAAGTGATACAGGACGCTGCTTCTGTCGTTTTGGAAGAAGCGTCGGCGTATCAGGTGCCGCTGGGTTTCCATCCGTCGGACTGGCGTCATTGGTGGTGATTATCGGTGAGCTTATGTCAAGGTTCGCCATGAGGTGAGAACACCCGAGTGAATCAGTGTCTGAAGACGACAGATGTGACAGTGTTGACTGTGAGGCAAACTTTCGGCGGCGGCACGGAAAGGATGAACTTACCCCGTTTGCGGAGGTGGCGCGTTTTCCGTCTTGTCGTGGCGGCGAGGACAACCCCTTGGTGAAGTAACGCGGATTGAAAGCTCGTTGCCAACCAAAATCGTCCTTCTTCTCTAGCATAGAGTTCACACAAGCCGTCTCAAGGTACCTGCTCCTGCGACAGAACCTAGGTGAACAATAGACACTCAATCTCTGGTCCTTTAGCTGTGTAACACTTGGGGAGCCGTCCCGACCTGGAGACATTGTTACGGTCAAAAAGCACCGAGCGAAAACCCGTTAGGCTTAGCCAGTCTGTCTTCTGCAATTCACCTTTAATTTGTTGTATCCACTCTTATCCTTGTGCGTTTTCTAAATTGTTAAAGGAACTTGCGGTTTGTACGTTCTGCCTTCTCTGTCTGAGTCGCAGTTCAGTCGCGACTAGGATGGTTTTGAAGAATAATGTATTTTATCAGGGAATCCTTGAAAATTTTGAAATGAAATATTGTTTCAAAAGAGCGTACTGTCCCTCCTTACTCATTCAAAGTCTCTTTTGGCATATGCTTGCTCGTGAAAATTATGCCGAGAAGTCAAAAATATTGTAAACAGGGTGTTCTGTGAAGTTAAATCAAGTAGCCTCTCCTGGTTAGTACAGACAACGAGTCTTCCACCAAAGCGTTATTTCAACAGCTCTCTTCTACGAATCTTTCCCGGATCTTGACACCGGATACTCACTCGCTGTCTACTTCCGATAGAGCGAACCCGTCACCAATCCATCATGGCCGAACGCTTTTTAATCAATCATAAACAGGTCCACCATCACTTGTTGCCGTTCGTCTTTTAACTCTCAAGATGATTTTCCCAGTTTCTTCTTTACTCCTCAGCCCGCTCAGGGGAGAGATAACCAACCGCAGTATCTAGACACCGCTCTAAATTATGCGGGTTTATGCACACACGAGTGTCCCGCCACTGTAGTGCACCACGAGTTTCCACAGTGGGATGATTCTGTAAATGCTGCCGTGAGCGAAGCACGCGACCGGAGTGAATGCAGGCCCTGTCTATATTGATTCCTGCAAAACTAAACCAGCGTAAAACAAACGGAGAGCAATTTCACCTAATCAACTCCCGATCGAAACAGACATTGCATGACCCTACTCTGCGAGGTCGCCGTGGATAGAAAGTAGTGTGCGTTATTGAGTTGTGCGTGCGTGTGTGTGTGCGCGCGGGCCCAGAGCTCCCAATTCTCGGTTGATTTAGGTCGAGATGAGATAGATGGCCCGAGCGTAATTGAGGTTTGTTTGTTAGCGAGAGCTGTTATTGGAGAATTCGCCGGATGTTAAATGACCCGCTGACGTACAAGACTCTATGTTTTACCTGCATGGAAGGAAAAAGTAAATGGAAAGATACATTACTTTTCTATAAATAACCCTATAACGATTGATAGAAAGAAAGAGCGATATACTGAGAGGTACAGAGAGAGATAGGGGAGATAACAAAACAGAATAGAATTAGTAAAAATATATACATATAACTCAGTGTACCGTTCCATCCCACTATCACTTTCTGTAACAAAACTTAAAATTTGTGGAGGGGGGCATCTATTGTATTTAGCAAATTAGCTCATCATTGACGTAAACAATCCAAAATAATCAAATAGTGTGAGAGAGAGAGAGAGAGAGAGAGAGAAGGAGGAGAAAGAGAGACAGTGAGAGAAATAGTGAGAGAGGGAGAGAGAGAGAGAAGAAAAATTGGGTACATTTCTTTCAATTAAGGTGTCATATAGAAATCATCGAAAATAGACGGAAAAATTGTCATCAAACCAAAACTAAAATCATTCACCAATCTGCGATTGGCTAAACGGGTAAATAATTCCTTTCTCCTCCGACTGATAAAAACTGATTCGAAGACGTCAAAATGCGAATATTAGCATAATAACACCCTAATTCAACGTCATTAGTAATCATAGTATACGGCATCCTAATTTGGTCCCCGGATGAGTTTGAAGGAGAAACAGCATCCGTTATCAGGGAGGAAATGAGATATAACAAGATATCAAGACCGAGTCGACTATTGAGCCATATTACCAATTTATCCCGAGGGTACGAAAGGCATCTATTCTAATCATGTTTCTAATGAGGATGTTATCAGGACAATCGTTAATGGACTTGCATCGAAGGACGAGAGTAAGCGAAACCTGCGTTAGATGGGATAGAAATAGCTAGTAAAGTGGGGTATCTTCGGAAACGAAACAAAAACAATTCCAGGTCATAGCATAAACATCATTATTTCCTTAGTTTCTTCATTTCAATATATATATATTTTTTTTTTTGAGTAACTTGTTTCATGACGTACGAGGATAAACCTTGTTCATTTTACACATAGGGTTTCTAAGAATTCAATTGATTTTTCACGAAAAGATAAAAAGGAAATAATCTTATTTCAAACGTAATACCAAATAATTCGTTCGTCTTTTGGTAGACATGCATTTATAGGACAGAAGAGACAGAGATACTGAAGAGGTAAGGCTAATCAGCAGAATATATATGATCACTAGATAGATCAGATAAGGAATGTAACAACTTCGTAATATTAGTCTCGTAATTATGGCAACCTCTAAATATGGAATAATCGAATAAACAAAAATCGGTTAACTTTGACAACATTGAAAAGAAAAAAGACCTGAACACCAATCTTGTTTCACCAACCTTTTTCTTTTCTTCTCCTCTTTTGCCGATGTTTTTTTTTAGAGAGAGGTATGTATATATAATATATATATATATATATAGAGAGAGAGAGAGAGAGAGAGAGAGAAATAATGAGGTAGAGAGAGAAAGAGAAGCATGAATTAAGAGAACGAGAGAGGAATAAATAGGTGGTGATAGGTAAAGAGAGAGGTAATATAAATGCGAGAGAGAGAAAGACCGAGGTGGAAAAAGATAGATCGTCACGGCGAGAGCCAAAGAGAGGAAGAGAGAACGAGAGAAAGAAAGAACTCAGGTGGAAATGGGAAGATTAAAATCAATTTTCTTCCGCAGAAGACAAAACAAAAAAAAATCAATGCATCTTGGAAAGAGCAACACGCCATCCCCACTATACTATAGCTAAGGCACTCCCTACTAATAACATACACATTATAGAAGTGTGTGTCCCCTGGGTTTCGTAAATGGCACGGACCTAACACCCGGCACGTAGAGTACACTTAGAGAGAACGTCTTATTCTGGTACAGGTTAACAACAGTAGTAAGATGTCTTATTCCTCATTGTAAATAAAATGCTCTCTTTTATTTTGTTTATTGCCTTTTATTTCTCTATGCAGCCAAAACCTTGGGTTTAATGTCAAATGAATAAAAAAAATACAAACAGAGAGATAAAAATGTTAGAAATAATGTGCACAGTCAAAGAAGCTGTGAAATCTGATTCATATAATTTTTGAATAACAATGTGCTACAAACAAAATATTAAGCATTATGAAATTAATACAAGTATAAGCTCGTGAGTACAATATTTAATTATGATTATTTATAACGTCAGAAATAATAAGGGTATGTGTGTCTAAATATATCTAACATTTTAGGGAAATGTCCATGCTAATACTTTTACTATATATAATAGGTTTATATCTTACCAAGATATCAATCAATCAGCGGAGATAAATTTTATTTACTATCAACTTAAATTTGATGGAGGTTTTTAGGAATTTCTGATGACATTTTGAACAAGATGAAGTAAGGTTCAAAACCTAGATTTCTCTAAGTGCACACTTAGGCAGACGGTTGTGTTCTGATACGTGTAAGAGTTAATAGTTATAGATTACTCATTCCATTTATTCATGTCACTTGAAATGAAACGATTGCATAAAAAATGTTCTCTATTAAAAATGGCAATGCTAATAACTTATGTAGTAGGTTCATATCTTACTACAATATTAATCAATCAACGGAGATGAATAGGATTTACTATCACCTTAATTTTGACGGAGATTTTTTACAAATTCCTTATGAAAAATTTGACAAGATGAAGAAAGATTCAAAACCTAAATTGCTCTATTAAAGGGATCCGGTAACTTTGTCTCAGATTCTGAAAACATATTCTGGATTTAGCTCATGATGCAATGATAATTATAAACCTTTAGGTCAGTCAGGAACCCCGTGACTTTTACAAGCCGATCGCCTGTCTGATTATCAAGATATTCATGATTGGAATTACAAATTTTGAAAACCGTTCGCCTGACGGTTTTCATAACACTACAGTCTATTGGGGAAAACGAGTATGGTAAAACCGGTCACTCAAAGATTTTTACTTTTTTGAGGCACTTCTTGATCATTTTGAAGCGCAATTTTTTTAGGGCCTCAATATTACATCATATCACAGACACTGATAACACGTAGGGCCGTGTATCTTAGATTTAACATTGTTAAACGATCCCTTTAAAGTGCACACAAGGTTGTAGAAATATCACTCATTCCATTTATTCTTGTCACATAAAATATAATGCTTACATATGAAATGCTCTCTATCAAAAGAAATGTCCATGCTAATACTTTGACTGTAATACGTAATAGGTGATAGTAAGATATCAATCGATCAGCCTAGATGAATATGATTCAGCCTTTTCACACACAGCTAAAATTCTATAAACATGATTAGTATAAACGTGTTTGAAACGTGTTTAAACTGATCACGAGCCTTTCACACACATTTCGTTGCGATCGTTAATCGTTTCGTGATTAACTACTGCTCGTAAAATGCGCAGTAGTGCCATTGCGCATTGAAGGTCAGGTCATATCAAACAGAGCGGTCGCTCCATCCAGTTTAAACACGTTTAAACACGAAAAACCTTTCACACACAAAATGTCAAGCTCTTTAGATACGAACTTCGTATCGGCAGCCTGCTTTTAGGGGCGTATGCATCGCGACTTCGTATCTATCTCAACATCGTATAAACGATGTTCACACTGGGAATTTTTTTTCTATAGACATGTTTAAAACTGTTGAGTGATTCTAATCATCTCTGGAAACGATGAATTTTAGCTGTGTGTGAAAAGGCTGATTATCTATTGGATTGATTTGATTGCGATTTTAACCAATTCCTTATGGAACTTTGAGCAAGATGAAGAGAGGTTCAGAAGCTAGATTGTAATGCCCACCCCGTGCTAAGACTATTACCAGGGTCGTAAATACTAAATGCAAGATCTGGGGGTGTTTCACAAAGATCCTAAGTTGAACCTAACTTTAAGTCGGAATTAAACATTATGGAGAGCCATTTGTAGCCTTAAAATAAAAAAAATATTAAAAAGCAAAGATTCAAGTATTTTAGAGTTGTTCAGAAATTCCCAGATCAAGAACATGAAATCTCCTTGATAATAGAAAATATGAATGATTTGAATCAACATTTTTTGCCTTTTAAAATAGCTTTTACAAATCATTTTCAAAGATGCTAACGGCTTTCCATAATTGTCAAGTCCAACGTAGAGATAAATTCAACTTAGGATCTTTGTGAAACACCCCCCCCCCCCTCCCCTGGGTCGTAAGCACTAAGTGCAAGATCTGAAGCAACTTTGGTTTCCTGTATCCCTTGACGTTTGCTTGGGTGACTTTTGCTTTTAAGTTGATTCAAGCTTATCGGCCACGAGGAGGAAGGATATGGCAAATCCACTTTCATGGTGTAATTTGGAATAAGCAATTTCGAATGGAAAGGATACCACTCCTCTCTCTGTCTCGCATCTCTCTCTCTCGCTCTATTTCTACCACTCTCTCTCTCTCTCTCTCCTCCATCTTTCTATCTCTTTTACCCTATCCCTCTGTTTCTCCCTCCCATCCTCTCGATCGACTGATTGTCCTTACTGCTATTATTGTCTCCGGTATTTTGTTCATGAAAACCCTTCTCGCCAGTCACGGCCTTCCGTACCTCTCTATCTCTCTCTCTCTCTCTCTCTCTCTCTCTCTCTCTCACACACACTCTCTCCATCTCTCCCTATCCTTCTCCATATTTCTATCTCTCTCTCCCCCTACCCCCCCCCTCTCTCTCTCTCTCTCTCTATGGAATCCTCTCGATCGACTGATTGTCCTTACCCCTTAAGTGGCGGTATTTTGTTCTTGAAAACCCTTCTCGCCAGGCACGGCCTTCCGTCTCCTTCTTCTCAGCTCCCATGGGTGACATTTGTTAGGACAACGAAGGACGTGTCCCTCAAAATGCACTCCCACTTTAAAGGGATCGTTTAAAGGCCCCCTGCACTACTTGCAGCTACTTGCGCCCTCTATATAACAAACAATGCCTAATCGGTGACCATTGCTCCCCCATGATCCTCTTTTTCTTATGTTAACTGAGAGCTGAGTTGATGAGATAACCACCTGTCCAGTGACCTTGCAGGGCA